CCTCCCTCCCTCCCTCCCTGCCTCCCTCCCTCCCTGCCTCCCTCCCTCCCTCCCTCCCTCCCTCCCTGCCTCCCTGCCTCCCTGCCTCCCTGCCTCCCTGCCTCCCTCCCACGCAGTCCCTGGGGCGCCTGGGCGACGGTCACGCACAGGGGCCACCTGCTCAGCGGCACCGGCGTGCCCACCTCCGGCCTGTCGTCGACCGTCAGCTGCATCTGCTCGCCCTCCTCCGCGGCCTCTTCGGGGTCAAACACGTCAAGGAGCAACTTTGGACGCGGACGTACTTGTGAGCGTTTTCTGATTCGGTGTTTCGACATTGGAAGGGGGTGGGGGAGGGGGGGGGGTCTGGCTCCAGACCGCTGCTTAATGCGACCGTTTGCAACAGTGCGTCCTATGGGGGAGACTCCACCAGCTCGAAACAGGCGCCCCAAACAGCCAAGATCCACTCCATGGGAGGGAGGAGGGGGGGTGCGAGGGCCCGCGCCGATCGGCAAAACACTGAATAAAGAAACGATCACCTTGCGGTGTCTGTTCCAAGGGAGCCGAATTACATAGCTGTCCGATTTGGGCCTGATTTGGACCAGATTTGGAACATCTGTGGGACCAGATCTGGACTGGACTTAGACCAGATCCACCCCTTCACAAGGGAGACGCGGAGAGCGATGGCGGGGTCGAGGAACAGGAGGGGTGAGGAGGAACACGAGAAATGACCAAATACTGTCTACGCGGCCCACATGCAGGAACGCTGATTTCAATGTGGCCGCCAAAGGGTCCAATGAACAGACACCGACTATGTCCCAACCAATCGAATTTGGTTAGAGAGGACACGCGAGTGGGCACGAGACTCTTCCGAAGGCAGCATGGCCTCTGAACCAGAGAGCCCCTGCCCCAGGAGGGTGGGACACATGAGACGCCAAACACGGAACACAAGCGTGCCCTGGAGTCTGAAGGGTCGACCGACCAACCAAACTCGACGGTATGTGAATCAGCTGTCAAGCGTGGATGTCTGAGCGTCGAAGAACAAGCGTGCCCGAACGCGGGCGAGCCTGAGCACGAGTGCCCGAGTACGAGTGAGTGTGCGCACGGGCGCCTGGATGCGCGTGGGGCTTGGCGGGAGTGAGCCCGAGCACGCGTGGCTGAGGAAACACGGGGGGATCGGTATAATCGGACTTGAGTGTGACTTGCCGTCGCTCGGACGTCCCTTTCCCGTGCATTTTTCGGTTTCGTGCGTGTTTTTTTGCGCGATGGTCCAGGATGGTCCTCGATGGTTCTCGCCGAGAAAAACATGCACACGTCCGAGCGATGCCAGGGTGAATAGATCGGAATGCGAATTAGTCTGGAGACTGGGGGGGGGGATCTCCTCACAATCCTAGCGCGAACAGGCCTGTGTCATACCCTCTGGCGGCTCCACTTGGGGCGGCCAACCTGCAATGCCTGCTACATCGTGGGCTCCTCCCTGCTTTCCTCTCTCTCTCTCTCTCTGGCGTGCGATATACAGGAAGGCTCAAGAATCGAACCGAACCGGCCAAACCGATCCGGGCCGAACTGGCGCGAACCGCACTTTTTATCAACAGGAACCGAACCCAACCAGAACCGAACGAGACCCAATTTTGAACCGAACCGAACGGAACCAAAATCGATTTCGAACCGATTCGGGCCGAACCGGATGGAGCCGCCGTGAACCGGAGGTCTCGAGGCCGTTCGGCCCCGAGGCCACCTATTCCCGATTCTTTGACTCCCCCGAAGCCCCCCGGGGCCCCGATTTTGCAAGTTCCCCGAGGCCCTCCGGGGCCCCTTCTGCAAATCTGAAAGGCATTTTGCAGATTTGCAAAAGGCCTCCGGGAACTTGCAAAATCAGGGCCCCTTGCAAAAAAGGCTTCGACTTGCAAAATCAGGCCCCCGGGGGGCCTCTGGGACTTGCAAAGAGGCCTCCGGGAGGGGCAAAATGGCTTCCGGGACTTGCGAAATGGCTTCCAGGCGGTGCAAAATGGCATCTGGGACTTGCAAAAAAAGCCTCGGGGACTTGCATAATGGCCTCCCAGACTTGCAAATTGCGTCCGGGATTTGCAAAATGGACATACAAAAACGCGTCCAGGACCTGCAAAATCGATTCCGGCACTTGCAAAAACGCGCCCGGGACTTGCAAAATGGCTTCCGGGACTTGCAAATCGCCCCTGGGTCTTGCAAAATGGCTTCGGGGACTTGCAAAGACGCCTCTGTGACTTGCAAAATCGCCTCCAAGACAACTCCGTTGCGAACCCCCCTTCTCCGTGGCGAACCGGGCGGAACCAAAGCGAAATGCATGGCGAACCAGGCCAAACCGGACGGCACCCCTCACAACGACGAACCGAACCGAACCGAACGGGAGAATTCCGACAACGAACCGAACCGAACCGAACCGGACGCACTTCGGAACCTAACTGAACCGAACCGAACCGGACCCTTCATGGATATAGCAGCGTTGCGGGAACGGCCGCATCCTTGACCGAAATTGGCATGCTGGAGAAGAGCCCTCCCACTCCTCCCTGATCCTCATTCCTCCTCTCCTCCTCCTGCACCCTCCCTCTTCACTCAAGCGTTGTCCCCATTCCTCATCGCTCCTCCACCTCATGCCTCCCCCATCCCACATCATGCTTTCAGCATCGTCATCACCATTCTCCTTCCGTCTCCCTCCTCACCCTGACCCTCCAGGCTGAAGCCTCTCTTTCTTCCGACGCATCGACGCCATTCGCCCCCCAATGCCCTGCTCTCGTAGGCCATCCGCCTTCTCCTCTCCCTAGCTCCTCCCTCCCTCCTCCTACTCCCTCCTCCTCCTCCTCCTCCTCCTCCTCCTCGATCCTCGCTCCTCGCTCCTCGCTCCTCCTCCTCCTGGCCTATCCTCGTCGTCCACTCAGCCGCGTCAACACCCTCCCCACACCTTCTCATCCTTCCCCCCCCCCCCTCGTCCTCCTGACCTCGCCCTGCCCTCCTTCCCCAGATCCCTCACCCCCCTCCCCCCCTGGAGAGGGAGGGGGAGGGGAGGGGGAGGGGGAGTAGGGAGGGGGGAAGGGGAGGGGGAGGGGGAGGGGGAGAAGGAGGGGGACCCAGAGAGCGGCCTCCACGACCTCCACCCTGGGCAGCAGCGTGCCGGCAAGCGCAGCGCAGAGCGCGAGGCTGGCCGAGTCAAGCAGGTTGCCGCCAGAGCTCAGCACGAGCACGTCCGCCCGCACCTTGCGCGGGTCGGTCCTGCCCACCCTCTACCATCCTCATGCCTCCACCTTCTACCTTCCCCCTCCTCCTCCCTCCCCCCCTCCCCCCCCTCTTCTCCATCCTCCTCCTCCTCCTGCTCCTCCTCCTGCTCCTCCATCCCTCTTTCTTCGCAGTTCACTACCCCAGCGAATAACAAACCAACGGCTGCAAGGGTAGAGGCGGATTCTTTGCAAACCTGGAGTATCTCCCTCTCGACGCGAACATTCGTCTTCAAACCTGGCAAAACGTGTGTAGATGGAGGCTGGGCCCTGTTCGAAACTGGGTTATTGGCAACGCGTCGCGACTAGTGACGTAGCACCCCGCATATGCGGATAAGAGTGAGGGGACGGTGGGGACGGCGGCAGTTTCGAGACTCTGGAGAAGCCCTCTGCAAGCGCCAAAGTTTTACAACTAATACAAGGAACCCGCCGCAAGCGCCGAGTCTTTAATTCAACAAATGTGGGTCGGTCGCGGGTGGGGTCGCGGGGTGGGTCGCGGGTGGGTCGCAGGGTGGGTCGCGGGTAGGTCGCGGGTGGGTCACGGGGTGGGTCGCGGGTGGGTCGCGGGGTGGGTCGCGGGTGGGTCGCGGGGGGGTCGCGGGGGGTTCGCTTTGGGTCGCGGGCGGGTCGCGGGTGCAGAGGGCTGAAAGTCCACCCAATAATAATCACCCCGACAAACGAAACCGTTTGGTGAATACGCGCAGAAACTGAATCGTATAGGGCAGGGTTGGTAAGTCAACGCCCATGGCCGTTTTCGTAAAAGTCAACTGTCGGGTCCGGGTGATTTTTCCTCCCTTGAGGATGGGTCGCGGGGTGAATCGCGGATGGCTCGCGATTGGGTCGCGGATCGGTCGCGGGGTGGGTCGCGGATGGGTCGCGGGATGGGTCGCGGGTGGGTCGCGGGTGGGTCGCGGGTGGGTCGCGGGGTGGGTCGCGGGTGGGTGACGGGTTGGGTGGCGGGTAGGTCGCGGGGTGAGTCGCGGGGCGGGTTGCGGGGATTGCGGGAAGTCACAAGCGGGAGGGTGAATTGTCAGGAAGTCTCAGGAGCGGGGGTCCTGAGTAAAGTTGGAGGAAGTCTCGGGCGGGAGCCGTTGTTGTTGTAATCCGGGGGGCCAGGGGCCCAGTTTGAGCACCAAGACTTTCCCTGCCAAAAAACAAGGTACGAACTTTGACGAGGAAAAAGCAGCATGCACCGGTGATGGGGGGATCAACAAGAATTACTCTTCAGAAAAGAGAATTCAACAACAAGAACAACAACAACATTCTAAGACTGGTCGCTCCTACTTGCCCACGTGGCATTGAAAACGAGTTCCCCAAACCCTCCATACCCACCCTTTTGTCTTCGATCACACCCCCTTTGGGGGGATTCTTTCTCTTTGCGGGGGGCGGGGGGCGGCGGGCTTAGACAGGCGGGCAAACCTGAACGGGCGGACAATCCTTCGTGGGCGTACATGTGCCCGCCATTGAAATTGGTGTGGGCCTTGCAACAAGAGGAGGGGGAGAACGAGGGAGAGTGGGAGGCAGGGAGGGGGAGGGACGAAGAAAGAGGGAAAACGCCAGGAGAGAAGGAGCGAAGAGGGGGGCGATTGATTAGAGGCTGAGAGAGAAAGACAGATAAGAGAGGTAGAGAACGAGACAGAGAGCGAGGTGAGAGAGAGAGAGAGAGAGAGAAAGAAAGAAAGAAAGAGGGAGGGAGGAGACAGGAGAGGGGAGGGAGAAGGAAGGAGGGAGAGGAGGAAGAGGGGATAGGGCAGAGAGGCATAAGGATGAGGGCAGAGAGGAGGGAGAGAGAAGAGAGGAGATGAGGGAGGAGGGAGGAGAGGGGAGGAGCAGGAAGGGTAAGAGCGTGAACGTTCGAGGAAGTCCTAGGCGAAAGCACCGTTCCTGAAAGGAGTCTCGGGCGGGAGCACGACGGGCCGGCGATCCCCTGACGGGCGGGTCGGGCGGGTGGGACATTCAAGCGGGATGCCTTGCTGGATCCTATCGGTTTTGGTTTGGGTTCTTTTCCAAAAGAAGTCCCCCTGGGGCTCCAGCGCGTCCCGCCGGCCACCCGGAAAGGCTCTCAAGGAGCTCAATTCCCCAATCTTTCGCTCAAGATGGCCCAAGGTGGCCTCCTCCAAGATGGCCACGTTGGCCCAAGATGGCCTCCAAGATGGTCCAAGACGGCCTCCAAGACGGCCCAAGAGAGTCCAAGATACCTCCAAATTCGCCCAAGAAGAAGCCTCCAAGACGGCCCAAGACAACCCAAGAGGCCTCCAAAAGGTCCTCGAGGAGGGCCCGAAGAGGCCCAAATCATTGATTTTCCAAGGATTTTGACAGATTGCGGCATTTGCTTCTTTTCGGCCTTCCGACGGCTCAAGACGGCCAAAGAGGCCCCCAAGATCGCCCCAAGATCGCCCACGAGGCCTCCAAGATGGCCCCATGACGGCCCAAAAAGCTCCGCAAGAGGGCCCCAAGACGACCCAAGAGGCGTCCAAGGCGCCCAATATGGCCTCGAAGACAGCCCTGACGACGAGGCCCCCAAGACGTCCCCAAGATGCCCACGAGGCCCCCATGACGGCCCAAGAGGCCCCCAAGACAGCCCCAAGACGGCCCCAAGAGGGCCCCAAGACGGGCCAAGAGGCCTCCAAGACGCCCAAGATGGCCCCTAAGACGGCCCCGAAGCGCCCCAAGAGGGCCCACCAAGATGGCAAAAGTTGGCTCGAAGCTGGCCCAAGACGGCCCAAGAGGCCTCCAAGAGGGCCTCCAGGAAGGCCAGAAAAGGCCAACAACACTTACCTTCCTTAGGTTTTTGAAGGGTTTTGACGTTTGCTTCTTTTCGGCCTTCCGACTGCCCGAGACGGCCAAAGAGCCCCCAGAGATCCCCCAAAGATCGCCCAAGAGGCCTCCAAGATAGCCCCAGAACGGCCCAAGAGGCCCGCAAGACGGCCCCAAGAGGCCCCAAGACGGCCCAGGAAGCCTTTAAGACGCCCAGGATGGCCTCTTGGGCTGCCCTGAGCATTCCAAGAGGGCACCAAGTCGACCCAGAGAGGCCCCCCAAACGGCTTCCGACGGCAAGACGGCCGAAGATGGCCCTAAGATGGCCCAAGACAGCCCATGAGGCCTCTAAGAGGGCCTCCAGAAAGGCCCTGAAAAGCCAAAATCATTGATTTCCTATGAGTTTTTGAAGAATTGTGGCATTTGCTTTTTCCCAACCATCCTGTGGTGTTGGGTCCTCGTTTTAAAGAGACGGTGCCCGCGTCCTCTCCTCCTCCTCTTCCCCCTCCTCCCTCCTCCCCCTCCTTGCCTCTGCTCTCGGCACACCCCTCACGCGTTTCGTAGCCCCATAGGGAGCTCCACCGAAGGCCCCAGTGGGGGTGTTCGCATGCGGTTCCCCCACCCAGGGCAGCGTTTCGTGGCCCCATAGGGAGCTCCACCGAAGGCCCCAGTGGGGGTTCGCATTCGCCCCCACCCAGGGCAGCGTGGGCCCCATTGGTCCACCGAAGCCCCAGTGGGGTGTTCGCATGCTGTCCCCCACCCAGGGCAGCGTTTCGTGGCCCCATAGGGAGCTCCACCGAAGGCCCCAGTGGGGGTGTTCGCATGCGGTTCCCCCACCCAGGGCAGCGTTTCGTGGCCCATAGGGAGCTCCACCGAAGGCCCCAGTGGGGGTGTTCGCATGCGGTTCCCCCACCCAGGGCAGCGTTTCGTAGCCCCATAGGGAGCTCCACCGAAGGCCCCAGTGGGGGTGTTCGCATGCGGTTCCCCCACCCAGGGCAGCGTTTCGTGGCCCCATAGGGAGCTCCACCGAAGGCCCCAGTGGGGGTGTTCGCATGCGGTTCCCCCACCCAGGGCAGCGTTTCGTAGCCCCATAGGGAGCTCCACCGAAGGCCCCAGTGGGGGTGTTCGCATGCGGTTCCCCCACCCAGGGCAGCGTTTCGTGGCCCCATAGGGAGCTCCACCGAAGGCCCCAGTGGGGGTGTTCGCATGCGGTTCCCCCACCCAGGGCAGCGTTTCGTAGCCCCATAGGGAGCTCCACCGAAGGCCCCAGTGGGGGTGTTCGCATGCGGTTCCCCACCAGGGCAGCGTTTCGTGGCCCCATAGGGAGCTCCACCGAAGGCCCCAGTGGGGGTGTTCGCATGCGGTTCCCCCACCCAGGGCAGCGTTTCGTGGCCCCATAGGGAGCTCCACCGAAGGCCCCAGTGGGGGTGTTCGCATGCGGTTCCCCCACCCAGGGCAGCGTTTCGTGGCCCCATAGGGAGCTCCACCGAAGGCCCCAGTGGGGGTGTTCGCATGCGGTTCCCCCACCCAGGGCAGCGTTTCGTAGCCCCATAGGGAGCTCCACCGAAGGCCCCAGTGGGGGTGTTCGCATGCGGTTCCCCCACCCAGGGCAGCGTTTCGTGCCCCATAGGGAGCTCCACCGAAGGCCCCAGTGGGGGTGTTCGCATGCGGTTCCCCCACCCAGGGCAGCGTTTCGTAGCCCCATAGGGAGCTCCACCGAAGGCCCCAGTGGGGGTGTTCGCATGCGGTTCCCCCACCCAGGGCAGCGTTTCGTGGCCCCATAGGGAGCTCCACCGAAGGCCCCAGTGGGGGTGTTCGCATGCGGTTCCCCCACCCAGGGCAGCGTTTCGTGGCCCCATAGGGAGCTCCACCGAAGGCCCCAGTGGGGGTGTTCGCATGCGGTTCCCCCACCCAGGGCAGCGTTTCGTGGCCCCATAGGGAGCTCCACCGAAGGCCCCAGTGGGGGTGTTCGCATGCGGTTCCCCCACCCAGGGCAGCGTTTCGTAGCCCCATAGGGAGCTCCACCGAAGGCCCCAGTGGGGGTGTTCGCATGCGGTTCCCCCACCCAGGGCAGCGTTTCGTGGCCCCATAGGGAGCTCCACCGAAGGCCCCAGTGGGGGTGTTCGCATGCGGTTCCCCCACCCAGGGCAGCGTTTCGTGGCCCCATAGGGAGCTCCACCGAAGGCCCCAGTGGGGGTGTTTTCGTGGCCCCATGGGGAGCTTCCCCCCCACCCATGCGGTTCCCCCACCCAGGGCAGCGTTTCGTGGCCCCATAGGGAGCTCCACCGAAAGCCCCCGTGGCGCAGTTCGCATGCGCTTCCCCCACCCAGGGCAGCGTTTCGTGGCACCATAGGGAGCTCCACCGAAGGCCCCAGTGGCGCAGTTCGCATGCGGTTCCCCCACCCAGGGCAGCGTTTCGTAGCCCCATAGGGAGCTCCACCGAAGGCCCGCCCCGGTGGCGCAGTCCGCATGCGGTTCCCCCATCCAAGGCAGCGCTTCGTGGCCCCATATGGAGCCCCACCGAAAGCGGCACCCACAACGCGTTACCAACAATTGCTTATGGTTGGGTCTTTCGCCAGGATAATTTCCCAACCATCCTGTGGTGTTGGGTCCTCGTTTTGAAGAGACAGCGCCCCGCGTCCACTCCTCCCGCTGCCCCCTCCTCCCTCCTCCCCCTCCTGGCCTCTGCTCTCGGCACACCTCTCACGCGTCTCGTAGCCCCATAGGGAGCTCCACCGAAGGCCCCAGTGGGGGTGTCCACATGCGGTTCCCCCACCCAGGGCAGCGTTTCGTGGCCCCATAGGGAGCTCCACCGAAGGCCCCAGTGGGGGTGTCCACATGCGGTTCCCCCACCCAGGGCAGCGTTTCGTGGCCCCATAGGGAGCTCCACCGAAGGCCCCAGTGGGGGTGTCCACATGCGGTTCCCCCACCCAGGGCAGCGTTTCGTGGCCCCATAGGGAGCTCCACCGAAGGCCCCAGTGGGGGTGTCCACATGCAGTTCCCCCACCCAGGGCAGCGTTTCGTAGCCCCATAGGGAGCTCCACCGAAGGCCCCAGTGGGGGTGTCCACATGCGGTTCCCCCACCCAGGGCAGCGTTTCGTGGCCCCATAGGGAGCTCCACCGAAGGCCCCAGTGGGGGTGTCCACATGCGGTTCCCCCACCCAGGGCAGCGTTTCGTAGCCCCAGAGGGAGCTCCACCGAAGGCCCCAGTGGGGGTGTCCACATGCGGTTCCCCCACCCAGGGCAGCGTTTCGTGGCCCCATAGGGAGCTCCACCGAAGGCCCCAGTGGGGGTGTCCACATGCGGTTCCCCCACCCAGGGCAGCGTTTCGTAGCCCCATAGGGAGCTCCACCGAAGGCCCCAGTGGGGGTGTCCACATGCGGTTCCCCCACCCAGGGCAGCGTTTCGTAGCCCCATAGGGAGCTCCACCGAAGGCCCCAGTGGGGGTGTTCGCATGCGGTTCCCCCACCCAGGGCAGCGTTTCGTAGCCCCATAGGGAGCTCCACCGAAGGCCCCAGTGGGGGTGTCGCATGCGGTTCCCCCACCCAGGGCAGCGTTTCGTAGCCCCATAGGGAGCTCCACCGAAGGCCCCAGTGGGGGTGTCCACATGCGGTTCCCCCACCCAGGGCAGCGTTTCGTAGCCCCAGAGGGAGCTCCACCGAAGGCCCCAGTGGGGGTGTCCACATGCGGTTCCCCCACCCAGGGCAGCGTTTCGTAGCCCCATAGGGAGCTCCACCGAAGGCCCCAGTGGGGGTGTCCACATGCGGTTCCCCCACCCAGTTTCGTAGCCCCAGAGGGAGCTCCACCGAAGGCCCCAGTGGGGGTCCACCGAAGGCCCCAGTCCACATGCGGTTCCCCCACCCAGGGCAGCGTTTCGTAGCCCCATAGGGAGCTCCACCGTAGGCCCCAGTGGGGCTGCCCTCATGCGGTTCCCCCACCCAGGGCAGCGTTTCGTAGCCCCAGAGGGAGCTCCACCGTAGGCCCCAGTGGGGGTGCCCGCATGCGGTTCCCCCACCCAGGGCAGCGTTTCGTGGCCCCACAGGGAGCTCCACCGAAGGCCCCAGTGGGGCTGCCTGCATGCGGTTCCCCCACCCAGGGCAGCGTTTCGTAGCCCCATAGGGAGCTCCACCGAAGGCCCCAGTGGGGGTGTTCGCATGCGTCTCCACTACCCAGAGGTAGCGCCGCCGAAAACGACATTCACACTTGCGGTATTCACAGTTGCATATGGTTGGGTCCTTCGCCAGGCTAATTTCGGCCTTCCGACGGCCCGAGACGGCCCAACTGCCCCCAAAGATCGCCCAAGAGTCCCTCAAGACGGCCCCAAGAGGCCCCCAAGACGGCCCAAGAGGCCTCCAAAGAGCCTTCTAAGACGTCCTCCAAGAAGGCCCGAAAGGGTCAAAATGGCCTCCAGACGGCCAAGATGACCTTCAAGAAGCCCACGTGTTCCCCGAAGGCTTTCCAAACCGACTCGGGGAACACATGGACCGATAGCTTTGCGGGTCTGGCTTCAACGTTCGCCCACATAGGCGCTTCCAAACAGGCAGGGGGCGGCAGTGATTCGCCGTAGGCGTCTTCGACCCGCCGCCCTCTGTTAGCGTGCCAGAGGGGTGCCCGGCGTGCTAGACCCTTTCGGTGTTGGTTTTGGTTTTTTTCCCAAAGAACCCCCCCCTGGGGTTTCGGCCCGTCATGCCGGCCACCCGAAAGGGATCTCAATCCCTGAACAATCCCCCAAGACGGCTCCAGATGGCCTTCAAGATGGTCATATTGGCCCAAGATGGTCTCCAAGATGGTCCACGATGGCCTCCAAGTCCGCCCAAGATGGTCCAAGACGGCCTCCAAGACGGCCTAAGATAGCCTCAATATTGCCCAAGACGGCCCAAGAGGCCTCCAAGAGGTCTCCAAGATGGCCCAAGAGGCCTCCAAGAGGGCGTCCAGGAGGACCCGAAGAGTTTTGACAGGTTTTGGCATTTGCTTCTTTTCGGCCTTCCGACGGCTCAAGACGGTCCAAGAGGCCCCCAAGATCGCCCCAAGATCGCCCACGAGGCCTCCAAGATGGCCCCATGACGGCCCCAGAGGCCCCCCAAGAGGCATCCAAGATGGCCAAGATAGCCTCCAAGACGGCTAAAATGACCCCAAGATGCCTCCAAGATCCGAGACGGCCTAAGATGGCCTCAATATTGCCCAAGATGGCCCAAGAGGCCTCCAAGAGGTCTCCAAGAGGTCCCGAAGAGACCAACATCATTGCTTGTTTCCTTAGGTTTTTGAAGCATTTTGGCATGTGCTTCTTCTCGGCATCCCGACGGCTGAAGACGGCCCAAGATGTCCCAAAGATCGCCACAAGATCGCCCACGAGGCCTCCAAGATGGCCCCATGACGGCCCCAGAGGCCCCCAATACAGCCCCAAGAGGCCCTTCAAGACGGCCAAGGTGGCCTCCAAGACGGCTGAGATGGCCCCAAGATGCATCCAAGACGGCCCAAGATGCATCGAAGACGGCCTAAGACGGCCCAAGAGGCCCCCAAGAGGCGCCCAAGACGGCCCACGACGCCTCCAAGAGGTCCCCCAGGAGGGCCCGAAGAAACCAAAATCATTGTTTTTTTCAAAGGGCTTTGACAGATTGCTGCATTTGCTTCTTCTCGGCATTTCGACTGCTCAAGACGGCCCAAGAGGCCCCAAGATCGCCCCAAGATCGCCCACGAGGCCTCCAAGATGGCCCCATGACGGCTCAAAAAGCTCCGAAGACGGCCCCAAGAGGGCCCCAAGACGACCCAAGAGGCGTCCAAGGCGCCCAATATGGCCTCGAAGACAGCCCTGAAATGCCCCAAGATGGCCCCAAGACGACCCAGACAGGCCCCCATGACGGCTTCCGACGGCGTCAGACAAGCCAGGAACGCCCTAAGACTGCCAAAGAGACCCCCAAGACCAAAGGCCCCCAGCAGGCCCAAGGAGGCCCCGAAGAGGCCTCCAAGAGGCCCCCGGCAAGCCCCCAGGAAGCCCCAGGATTGCCCCAGAAGGCGCCAAAGAGGTCTCCTCCTCCTCCTTTTTCCTGATCCTCTCCCTCCTCCACGTCTTGCCCCCCCACGCGTTCCCCGAAGTTTTTCCAAACCAACTCGGGGAACAACTGGCCCGATAGCTTGGCCGAGCTCTGGCCCAACTCTCGGCCACATAGGCGTTTTCCGCCGCCCCCTGTTGATTCATCAGATGGGTGCCTGGCGTGCTGAATCATTCCGTTGTTTTTCTTTTTTTCCGCGACCAGCTCTTGAAAAAATAATGCAGTCAATTCACTGGGCTGACAGCAGGCGGACGTCGCCTGCAAGCCAGCATTGCAGCCTGACACTGGTGCGTGGGAAAACGTGGCGCTCGAGCGCCAAAGGGTTGGTGCTGAATGTAGCCGCAACCTTACAAAAGGACTGTGCCGTCTGTGTCGGACCAGACTAGGCAGTTACTGATCCTATGAAGAGAAAAAACGTGGCTTCTCGAAGCCAAAAGTGAGTTGGCGTAGTGTCGCTCTGCAGAGTAGCCTGATGATACAGGCACTGCGTCGTGCTAAATACGTTGCGCCGACTCGTACTCATCGATCTCCGCGTGCTGCTCCGACTAGTTGACCTCCACCTCCGCGTTGTGAATGAAGAAGATCAAGACACCAGCGAAGACTGCAATTAATTCCCATGGCTCGGTGGCTGTGGTGTTTGACGTGTCCGAAATCGTGCCCGTATCGGTGGTCGTCGTGGCCGTCTTGGTGGTCGTCGCGGTGGTCGTCTCACTTGTTGTCTCGGTGGCGGAACTCGTGGCCGTCTCGGTGGTGACGATGGTGCCGTCGAACACGTACGCGGAGCCAGACTCAACGCCCTGATCGTCGTCATAAAATGCCCCCACCACCACGCGGGCCCCGTCGGAGCTCACGGCCACCGAATTACCAAATTTTGCGTATCCGGCCCCATCACTCGCCACAAGCTTGAGCAGCCTCTCACCCGTGGTACCGTCGAGCACGTGCACGGAGCCAGATTTGAAGCCCTGGTCGTCGTCATAGTAGGCCCCCACCACCACGCGGGCCCCGTCGGAGCTCACGGCCACCGAGATTCCGAAATTGTCGCCTGCGGCCCCATCACTCGCCACAAGCTTGAGCAGCCTCTCGCCCGTGGTACCGTCGAGCACGTGCACGGAGCCAGAATAGCTGCCCTGGTCGTCGTCACCCCGGGCCCCCACCACCACGCGGGCCCCGTCGGAGCTCACGGCCACCGAGGCTCCGAAAGAGTCGCCTGCGGCCCCATCACTCGCCACAAGCTTGAGCAGCCTCTCGCCGGTGGTACCGTCGAGGAGCCAGACCCACTGCCCTGGTCGTCGTCACCGTTGGCCCCCACCACCACGCGGGCCCCGTCGGAGCTCACGGCCACCGAGATTCCGAAATTGTCGCCTGCGGCCCCATCACTCGCCACAAGCTTGAGCAGCCTCTCGCCGGTGGTACCGTCGAGCACGTACGCGGAGCCAGACCCATCGCCCTGGACGTCGTCACCTTTGGCCCCCACCACCACGCGGGCCCCGTCGGAGCTCACGGCCACCGAGATTCCGAAATTGTCGCCTGCGGCCCCATCACTCGCCACAAGCTTGAGCAGCCTCTCGCCGGTGGTACCGTCGAGCACGTGCACGGAGCCAGAATTGAAGCCCTGGTCGTCGTCAGAGTAGGCCCCCACCACCACGCGGGCCCCGTCGGAGCTCACGGCCACCGAAGTACCGAAATAGTCGAGGAAGGCCCCATCACTCGCCACAAGCTTGAGCAGCCTCTCGCCAGTGGCCCCGTCGAGCACGTACGCGGAGCCATGCTGATCGCCCTGGTCGTCATAGTAGTTGGCCCCCACCACCACGCGGGCCCCGTCGGAGCTAACGGCCACCGATACACCGAACCTGTGGAGTTGGATCCCATCACTCGCAAAGAGCTTGAGCAACTGCTCGCCGCTTGTAGCCTGGCGCCTCCCGAACTCGGCCTGCGGTTCGCGAGGGCGACCGCTCGCCGAGCCCTCCAGCCTCGGGCGGGCCAGCGTCCCGCTCGCCGACGACCCGGCGCTCGGGGCGCCGCGCGCTACCAGCAGCAGGAGCAGCGCGCCGACGCTGTGAGACGTGCGAAAGCGCATCATGCCGTCTGCTGATGTGCAAAACTGAGAGGGACGAGAGACGCCCGAGGGGAGCCCTGTGAGGCCAGCGACGGCCCCCTTGAGCCGCCAATATTGCTTCGGACCTTCCGCTTTTGGTTTGGGTTTTTTTTCCAGAAGAACTCCCCCTGGAGCTTCGGCCCGTCCCGCCGGCCACCCGAAGAGAGAAGGAGCGAAGAGGGGGGCGATTGATTAGAGGCTGAGAGAGAAAGACAGATAAGAGAGGTAGAGAACGAGACAGAGAGCGAGGTGAGAGAGAGAGAGAGAGAAAGAAAGAGGGAGGGAGGAGACAGGAGAGGGGAGGGAGAAGGAAGGAGGGAGAGGAGGAAGAGGGGATAGGGCAGAGAGGCATAAGGATGAGGAAAGAGAGGAGGGAGAGAGAAGAGAGGAGATGAGGGAGGAGGGAGGAGAGGGGAGGAGCAGGAAGGGTAAGAGCGTGAACGTTCGAGGAAGTCCTAGGCGAAAGCACCGTTCCTGAAGGGAGTCTCGGGCGGGAGAACGACGGGCCGGCGATCCCCTGACGGGCGAGTCGGGCGGGTGGGACATTCAAGCGGGATGCCTGAGTATGGCGAGAGCGTGATTACTAAGTAAGTTGTAGCGGCGTCCTTGGCGCAGCGAGTTTCCTGAGCGTCGAAAGCGCGATTTCTGACTGAATTGCATGGAAGTCACAGGCGAGAGCGCAATTCCTGACTAAGATGTAAAGGATTCTCTGGCGGAAGCGGGGGTCTTGATTAAATTGCGAGGAAAGCTTGATTCAATTGCGAGGAGGTCTCAAGCGGGAACGCCGTTCCTGAGTAAATTGCGAGGAAGTCTCAGATGGGAGCGGGGGTCCTGACTAAATTGCGAGGAGTCACAAGCGGGAGAGCAAAGTGTCAGGAAGTCTCAGGAGCGGGGGTCCTGAGTAAATTTGGAGGAAGTCTCGGGCGGGGGCCGTTGTTGTTGTAATCCGAGGGGCCAGGGGCCCAGTTTGAGTACCAAGACTTTCCCTGTCAAAAAACAGGGTGCGAGTGACGAGGGGCACACTTTGATTGAGAAAAAAAACATGCACCGGTGAGGGGGGATCAACAGCAATTACTCTTCACAAAAAAGAAGTCAACAACAACAACAACAACAGCAACAATCACTTTACCCGAACGCTCAGTGTTCTCACCAGTGCCAGGGTTTTCATGCGACGCCAGCCAATACCCCCACTTTGTGGGGGGGCAGTGCAAGCTCTACCAAATATCCACACGACTCTTCGCCACCACCCACACCCAGCTTCCCGCCCTATGACGTTCGGACACTTCACTTCGTGGCCTGCGGACGACCGTGGCTACTACACTGGCGTGGAGTACACACCCACAGAAGTTGTTAGGACAGCGCGCGCGGGTAGAAATTTTGAAAAGTCGTGCAGGTGTTTTTCGAGGACCTACGGTGCGATTCGTGTGATTTTATGATGCGCGGTGCTAAAATTCTTAAGAAGCCCAATGGTTTTTGGAGATTTCGGCGTGCGCGCGCGAAGAAAAAACGAATGTGTCCCGCATGGTATTATTTGACAGGGATGATGGCCCTGGCAGGTGCGCAACCGTTGTCGCAGAAGTTCGAAAAAGTTGCTCGCAAAAGCCCGTTTGACAGAAATGTTTAAAAAGTGTTGGGTTTCCTACGAATCCGCAAGAGCGCGCGGGATGAGATTTTGACAATTTTTTGTTGAAAAACCATTGGTTTTTTGATGTTTTTATGTTAAAATCGCTCGAACACTAAGGTTTTGGAAGGATTTCGTCTTGCGCGCGCGAATGTCCACTTTACCTTATTTTTTGCAAGGGATTCTTGAAATTTGATTATATTAGAACAAGAAATGTCATTTTCTATTGTTTTTTTGCAAGGGAAAGCGGATTACAACAAAACAACCGGATCCTGTACACACCCTCTTTTCTGAGGCTTCCTTACGAAAATGATGCAAATGTAGCTGCGGCCTAGGCGGCGCAGGGGGGGCGCGCACCAGGGGGCCCAACAATAATTATTCTTTAGAATAAATAATGTTCAACAACAGCAACATGCAAAACACCATCAACAGCAACAACAACGACAACGAGAACGAGAACGACAACACCGACAACGACAACAGCAACAACAACAACAACGCAACGAGCAGAAAACTCATCACGAATTCCTTATTCGGCCACGCACCCAGGGACAATGAGTGACCGTTCGGCCCCCTCACTCTGATTCTAGGAGCTTCCATCAATTTGCGAAGATAGAGGCCAGGTCCTTTTCAAAATGAGACTCTCGCCTTAGCGCCGCGCACGTGCGTCTTAAAGGCTTTGCGCACTTGCCCCCATTTCATCCTGTGTAATTCATATTGCGGTCGGGGGGGCCTAAGACAGCCACCCAGAGCGAGCAAACTGAAAATACGACACTCAGACACAGACACACACACACAAACACACACACACACACACACACGCGAACTTACGCACGCACGCACACATGCACGCACGAACGCACGCAAGAACGCGCGCACGCACGCACGCACGCGCCCACACAGACACGGACTCACACACATAGACACACAGACACACACACACACGCAAACGCACGCGCACACACACACACTCACACACACGCACACGCACACGCACTCGCGGCCTCGCACGCCGCGACAAGGCGGAGTCGACAGGAGCACCTCCGGCCGTGGATACCACCGGGGCACACACACACACTCTTTTGTCGATCGCGGCCTGGCGAGCAGCGGTGAGGCGGAGTGCGTCGAGCACAAACACACACACACACACACTTTTTTATCTGCGGGGCGAGAGCAAACCTCTTCCGCTAAAAGCTAGGCGGGCTACGCACAGCTTTAATTAGGGAGACAGGGCACAGGAAGGCGGGGCCTCAGGCGGCCGGAGTGGGCGAGGCCCAGGGGTGCAACACACACACTTACACACACACACACACACACACGCACGCACGCACGCACGCACGCTGTCTGGCGTCACGGCCACGGTGCGCAGCGGCGCGGGAGGAGAAAGGTCGGGCGAGCAGACGCGCGCGGCCGTTGCCCAGACCACGCGGCGTGGAGACATTGGGGCCACATACCCATCGGTCGAAAGAAGTAGGTAGAGACATGAAGTAGGAAGACGTTGAACATATGTGTATATATATAAATATGTATATCGGGTGTCCACCCGCCCCCTCAAGAGGACGAAAAGGTGAAGCCACTCCATCATTGACGTAGGAAGGCGCTTAAAGCAAGCTTGAATCTGGGACTCCAGAAATACCTACTTTCAACGATCCATGGGTACGCACACGCCGTGAGATGCTTGAAAAAATGTTTTGGGGCCCGTGATCAGGGGTACGAAAACGACACCATGACCCGGGGCAGGAGAGCCCATAATTGAATCGATAAGTCGAATCGGCGATCGAAATGAATCGGATCGGCGGAAATCGGCAGCCGAATCGGGAAAACTCGGATCGGCGGAAATCGGCAGGCTTGTATGCGTTCAGTGAGACATCGGAGCCCAAATCGGAATCCCAAGTCGAATCGAATCGGAATCGGAATCCATCGAAATCGAATCGAATCGAATCGAATCGAATCGCAGGAATCGGCACGAGCCCTGCCAGGGTGCGTGGTGGCCAGAATCTCCGAGGGGGGTTCTGGCCACAGCGACGAGGTGCGCAACCACAGGCCCCCAAAGGCAATAGAAGGCAGAGCAGACTCCAGGGTACGAGCGACGTGCACGGAGGAGCGGGGCGAGAACGACAGTCCAGCTTGCCACCACCATTACCACAGGTAGGAAAGGGAGGAGTACGAGGAGGGGGGGGGGCAGGAGGAAAAGGAGGAGGAGGACGAGGAGGAGCAGGGGGAGGAGGAGAGGAGGAGGAGGAGAAGGAGAAGGAGGAGGAGCAAGAGGAGGAGATGGACGAGGAGGAGGGGGAAAAGGAGGAGGGTGAGGAAGAGGGGGAGAAGGATGAGGACCTCCCCATCCCCCCTTTTCCCCCGTCCTACCTATGGTATTGGTGGTTGAACAATCGCCCCACAGATGAGGGGGAGGAGGAGGAGGAGAAGGAGGAGGAGGAGGAGGTGGAGGCGGAGGAGGAGGAGGAGCAGGAGGAGGCGGAGGCGGAGAAAGAGGAGGCGGAGGCGGAGGAGGAGGATGAGGCGGAGGAGGAGGAAGAAGAGGACCTCTCAATCCTGGAAAATTGGCCCCTCAGAGAAAAGTCAGGGGGGGAGGGGGCGTCTGAGTCAGGGGGCAGAGGGCCCCGTCAAGGCCGGAGGGAGGCACCCGCGAGGCCCCCCGCCCTGCCTGCGGCCCTCCCTCGCGCCGCCGGGGCGGCCTCGGCCCTCCCAGAGGGGCCCAGGGGGACGCAAACACATCGACACGCACCCCCCTGGAGGAGGAGGAGGAGGAGGAGGAGGAGGAGGAGGAGGAGGAGGAGGAGGAGGAGGAGGAGGAGGAGGAGGAGGAGGAGGAGGAGGAGCAGCAGGAGGAGGAGGAGGAGGAGGAGGAGCAGGAGGAGGAGGATGTATAGAAATGGAGAGGTGGATCGGAAGCGCTGCCCCCCTCCTCCAAACAAACAGATTCTGGAGGCCTCATGGATGGAGTCTGAGTCGACGGAGTCGGAGAATGGCGCCGCATCGCCGATGCATCGGCACCGTTGACGTAGAGAGAATCGAGCCCCGCATCGAGCTGCATCGTGGATGCACTGGCGATGCGGCCCGATCTTCCGAGCCCATCTGCTCTCACCCCATCTGGTTGGCCTACAACCCCCTGGAATAAAAAGTCCGGATCGCAGAGGTCGGGGAATAAGCCTTGAGGTTCGACTCCCGTTAGGCCACGGGGCCCCGGTACAATGTTGCAGGGGCCGCCATGGTTAAATTTCCGGTCCATTCTCACCCCCTCTAATATTATAATCGCCAAATGGTGTGACGACCGGAAATCCGCATTCCGCCTAATACTTCCTCCAAAAAAATGTCCGGACGCTTTCCAGGCGACCGGAAATTCTCAGTGGCGACCGGAAATTGGCGATTTCGCTTGGGACGTCCTCGCAAATGAATTTTCGGTCCCAGTTATGTTGCTTGGAAGTTGCGATTCTGCTTGGTACTTCTTGTCAGTCATGTTTACCTCTCGGGGAGCGACGATGCAAGGGGGCCTGCAGTGCCGATCTGGACTTTTTAATCCAGGGGGTGGTAGTGTTCCCCAATATTTGTTCCAGAATTCTGGGACTTCCCTCTTTCCCTACATGTCCAATGTGCCCTCATTCGTTCCCGAACAGCAGCGCGTATGTGTGCTTGTGCCGACTTGTCCCATCTGACCTCCGTCCTCCCCCCCCAAGGAGGTCAAGGCTCAGGGGGGAACTCTCCGGACAATTCCCCCCCGAGGCCCCCCCCGAAGGGCCCAGGCCTCCGCGGAGGCCGACCTCGATCTCGATCCCAACCCTCGGGCCACCAGAATGTCCCGAGGAGTCCGACCCCGACCTCGATGCTTCAAGCCTCACTCAAAGCCCCCCCCGAATGGTGGCAGGGCGGCGCGGGCAACGGTCGGGGGCGTGCGCAAATCATGGCCCGAGGCACGAGCGCGGACGAGGGGGGGGAGGGTCAGGCAACGTCAAAAAGAAGAATATGCATCGATTTCCCTGTGGTTTTTGGAGGACTCTAGCATTCTCGCCGTTGCGGCTTCCCGACGCTCAAAACCAGCCTACGAGGCCTCCAAGATCGCACCAAGACGGCCCAAGAGGCCCCTAAGCGGTCTCCAAGACAGCTTCAAGACGGCCCAAGCCTCCAAGACAGTCTTAGAGGGCCCCAAGAACGCCCCAAGAGAGGCTCCAGTGGGGGAACATGCAACGACATTTCAAGCCCTCGGCCTCCAGAGGCCACCCCAAGAGACCTCCAAGAGGCCCCCACAGGACCCCAAGAGACCCTCGGGAGGCCCCAGGGAGCCCCCAAGAGGCCTCCAAGCGGCCCAAGGTGGCCCCCCTGAGGCCTTCAAGATGCTTCAAGACTGCTCCCAAGGAGTTCTCCAAAACTCCCCGAATAGACTCAAAAGCCCTACGGCCGCGAGCTGTTCTGCTCTGGCCGACCGGACCCCGCCACGGGTCGGTGGCGGAGTGGGCCCAAGGCCATTGGATAAGCCTTCCAAACGAGTCTCTGGCCCTCCAGAAGCCCCCGAGAGCGCTCCGAAGAGACCCCAAGAAGCATCTCTGAGGACTCTGACGCACATACTAGCCATGTCGGTGAGCATCAGAGGCCAGAACCCCTACGACAAGGTCCAAAGCAACTATTTCACCTCCATGCCTGCTGTCGCCACACCGCCAGAACAAAAAACACCGCCAAGCAAAGCCGCTTGGCCACGAACGCGCTGACAAGCGCCACCGATGGCACAATACGGACCGGCGGAATGAGTGAAGCGAGAAAACACGGGCAGACTTCAAGGCCCCAACCATGATATCCGACCTCCCCTGGTCCTCAACCACCCACCGCTTGAACGACGAGCCGCGCTCCCAAGGCGCGATTTTGGAGGATTGGAGATGGGTTCCAATTCCAACGCAAAGGGGTGCCTCCACAGGGAGAAGTTGATCCTGGATTCTGGTGTTGGTGGTTTTGATTTCGGCCACCCAGGAAGCCCGAACGTTGACACCATCACCGAGATCGGGATCACCTTCTCGCGGTGGAGGCGCACCGCCGATATTGGTGTTGGTGTCAACCTCTAGTGATAAGCAAGAGGAGGACCCCTAACCCTTTGGGAGGGGACCTAACTTAGGAGGGCGGGCCAAGAACACTAAGGATAGGCTGTTTTTTGTTTCGTTCGGCGGATGCATCAGACCAAACCGCCCGGATCCATTATCCCCAATGTGAGGACGGGCACCTCAGTGAGGCCACGTCTTCACCGCGACATCAGGGTTAGGGCTTCTCTTGTTCTCGACGATGTACAGCCAAAAACCCGAATAAGGACGCGCGGTAAGCACGCAAGACCCTTGGAAGCCGAACTTGAGATTTTTGGGGCGGCGGACGGAGAAAACCTCAAGGACGCAAGAGCAAGGAAGAGCAAGGACGCAAGGGCAATTACCCTGAGCAAAGTCGAGCGTCCTTATTAGGGTTTTTGACTGCAAGCCTCCGACGATCGGCGGGCGGCGGGGGGCGCGCCTCCCAGGCGAACGCCCCGGGCGCCACGCAGAGCGCTCGGCGGCTCAGGACCTGCTCCCCCCCGCACAGGGTCTCCAGCAGCGTCGAAAGCCTCTGGCCCTGGTCCTGGGAGGCTCCTCCCCTAGGGGAACAAAAAGTGATAGGGGAACAAGAAAACTCAAAAGTCCGCGCGGATTTCTCAAATCCGCGCTGGACCCCCCTGGCGGCGCCTCCGGCGCCGCCCCTGGCGCGCTCCGCGCGACAGGGAGGGGGGTCCAGCGCGGATCCGAGAAATCCGCGAGGACCTCCGAGGTTTTTTGTTTCTGTAACTTTTTGTTCCCCTATCCCTCCCCTTCGAAGAGGGGGAGGGCGACCCCGATCTCTGGCGTCGGGGGGTTTTCGCCGTGTCCAGAGATTTTGTGGGCCCAGGTCTGGGATACACGATGGGGGGCATCCATCCTCGATGTTGGGTGCGTCCGAAGAGCCCCCTGAAGGTACACCACCGACTCTCCCCTCTGCTCTGAGCGGCCTGATGCTTTGGGTCACCTCGGGATTGGGGGCGAACAAACGCCTAGGACCCCTCCTCGCTTGCTCGCCCTGCAAAGAGGTTCGAAAAAAAGGGTCGCGGTATGCGCCGGAATGCGCGGTGCGCCGGGCTGCTGCGCGCGTGGCAGCGCAGGCAACTTTGCTGCCGCCACTCGCTCCTCTTGACGATTCTCACACTCGGGGTCACCAAATCCATGGATCGGGGGAGGTGCCCTCCCCAAAATGCGGTCGGTGCCGCCTCGCTCGGCGGCGGAAATCCGCGATTTCCCATGGAAACGGGTCCTGTCGCTAATCCACGCCATCTTATCCATATTTGCGATCGCCTGAAACACGCGCCTATCTCGATGATTTTTCACATACGCCTCACCTCCCTCCCCCTCCCTCCTCGCTCGCTCCGTGGGGCAAGGGATGCGGACCAAGGCCTGGGGAGGGCAGAGGCGGGATCACGCGCACCACTCGTGCAACCGAGGGAGCAGCAGCTGCAGCCACAGCATCATCGGCGCAGACGGGGATCAGGCGCCGACGAGGGGGGCCCACGGAGCCATCGCCACTGGGACCCCAATGGCGTTAGACTCTCCCTCCTCCTCCTCCACCTCCTCCTCCTTCACTTCATCCTATCCTTCTTCCCCCTACCTCCATGGCACCAGGCTCCTCCTCCTCCTCCTCCTCCTCTTCATCCCCCTCCTCCTCCTCCTCCTCCCGCATCCCTTGCGCAATATTTTCCAAGACCCCGTCTACTGCAACGGCCTCCGATCACAACAACATAGGAATCACAGCGTGGACGAAGTCCGGCTCTGGGCTACTCGGCCTCGAGGGAGTGAAGGGGGCATGAGGAATGATATGCAGGTGAGGGGGAGCGAGGACGGACAGGGGACAGGAGGGGGACGATGATGTTGTTGGAGGAGAGATGAGAACACAATCCAAGGGAGAGCGGGGGAGAAATCGCAAACTGCCTGAGACGCGACCGAGTCTTACGGAAGCGCCTGAGCAGCGACATGAGGGAGGAGCAGGAGAACACGGATGAAGAGGATACAGCGATGAGACAGGATAGATAAGGGAACCAAGCGATAAGGGTGAAACAATGGGAACATGATGACGGAAATTGGAGGAGGAGGGAGGAGGAGTAATTCATGAAGAGGGGAGAAGGACAAATGAGAATGGAGCGGGATGCTGAGGGATGTAGGAGAAAGAGGGGGATGACGGAGGACGATGGGCGGACAGAGGGAGGACAGAACACGTAAGGAGTAGGCAGGTAGGAGAGAAGAGGGAGGCTGAAGGGGTGAAAGGGACGGAGGAGCTGACAATCTTGCTACTACGCTCGCCAACCGATAACGCTTGGAATATGTTCTAATCATGATCCCCTTGGATCACCAACGTTCTACAGGGTCCCCTCCGTATTGCAGACGCCATAACCATCGTACATACGGCCGTTCCTCGTCCTCCTCCTCCACCTGAAGTGTCGTGCATCCTTCTCGCCCTCGCCCGCCCGGGGGGGGACGGGAAGCGAGGAGAAGGAGGGGGGGGAAGGAGGAGGGAGGAGGGAAGGGAGGAACACGCAGGAGCAAGGGAGGGAGGGGAAGGGGGGAGGGGGGGAGGGAGGGGAGGAGGGAGGGAGGGAGAGAGGGGAAGGGGGGAGGGGAGGGACGCAGGGACCGGGGCAGCAGGACGGGAGGCTGGCGCAGGAGCAGAAAAGGGACGCTCGGCCGTGGATCCGCCCCCGCCGCGGTCCTCCGCGCCGCGGCCGCCCGCGAACTCGACCGAGACCTGGCGGGGGGGAGCGAGGGCAGGGCGAGGAGGACAAGGGAGAAGGACAAGGGAGAAGGCCTTCTCAGAAGGCGAGAAGGCCAAAGGAGAAGACAAGGGACACGGGAGAAGGCCAAGGGAGAAGACAAAGGGACAAGGGAGAAGACAAAGGAGAAGGACAGGGGGGAAGGACACGGGAGAAGTACAAGAGGGCAGGGCGAGGGGGGGGGCAGCAAGAAGGACAAGGGAGAAGGCCTTTTCAGGAGGCGGCGGGGCGTCTCAGAAGCCCTCGCGCCTGCGGAGGGGCGTGCTGTGTCGTCGTCGCAGCATGGAAATGTGATAAGTGGGGGAGGGGGAGGAATGTGCACTTCTCGGGCCCGACATCTTAGAGTTGTTCCAATAAGATCTGTCTGACTCGTGTAGTATAGCAGTACAGGCATGGTAGATAACATGTAAATGGTAAATACACCTAGTTCCAATCGAGACGTGTTTCCCAATCGCATAAAGAATGTATAATCCCACGATGTGGGGACAAATGCTGGGGGGAAGCACTGTAGAGTTAGCGTGCCTCAAGAAGCGATGCAATACAGAAATAGCAATCCCACGCACTGGGATTGCATTTTTTCTTGGAGTTGTGAGCGAGTCTTCCGTAGCCTTATGCTCGAGCCCTGCTAGGGCAATTAAATCAATCCTGGTAGCGTGAACGATAACCTTCCATTCCTTTGAGTATACATTCTGACTGCAGGTTCCCGCGCCATGGAGCTTTCAGCAGAGCAGCAGCGGTTGGTGATGGACATGATCAACCGCCAGGTGGAGGAAAGAGCCGCCGCGGACAGGCAGGCGGCGACGGCCACAATCGAACAGGAACGTGCCAGGTTCAGCCGAAACTGGGACGTTAGGCCGACTTCCCAAACTCGGCAGACGCCAAGCTCGTGGACATCAATCTAGGGAAGCTCGGTCAGTTCACAAACAAGGAAGAGGATTTCGAGAAGTGGAGCTTCAAGCTGAAGTCAGGCATCAGCTCGCTCAGCGAGGAGCCATGCCATCTGATTGATTCCATCGAGGACGACCAGAGACCGACGTGACCAACGATCCTGACATCGCCAGGTACGGCCTGGAAACGTTATCGAAGAAACTCTACTTCGCGTTGATGCTCGCGAAGTCGACAGCAGCAAAGATCGTCAAGAACATCTCGTCCAAGAACGGTTTCGAGGCATACCGGCAACTCGTCAAACGATATGGCCCCCGCGGTGGAGACAAGACCGCGGCGCTGATGGGCCAGATCTTGGACTACACGCTCGGCGGGCCCAAGGACTTCCTCGACAACTTGGTTTCGTGGGATGCACTGATGGACCAGTGGGAGATGGAAACAGTGGAAAGCCTTGCGGACAGCGTGAAGTGCTACGCTCATCCTCAAGTCCCCGAAGATCTTGAAGGACCATCTGTGCTCGCCACAACGAAGGAACAGGACTACGCCAAACTCTGAACGAAGGTCGAGGGCTATGCACAATGTGGTCAACGCCAAGCCCAAGAAGAAAGGCGAGGGCCAAGATGCCACGGATGGCGGCTTCAACTACGGCAAGGACCCCAAAGGCGGGAAGTACAAAGGTGGCAAAGGCAAGGGAAAAGACGGCAAGACGAAGTCCTCCGGCGGCAAAGGCAAGAACGGCAATTCAAAGTCGTCGGGCGGCAGGGGCAAGGATGGTAAGTCGAAATCTTCGGGAGGAAAAGGCAAGGGTGCATCTTGGTACGATTCGCCCTGGCAGAGGGGTAGTGCTTGGTGGTCGAAGGATCGGAACGGCTGGAACGATCGCTCCGTCAACAACACTTACACTTCCCCAAGCGACTCCTGGCAGGAGTCTCAGACGGCCGACGCGGGCAACAGGAAGACGACCAACAAGGATGACATCGTGACTCACATTTACGACGACGAGAGCGAGTGGATCATGGGCGTCGAGGAGATCTCGGGCGAAGAGTTCGTGCTCTCCACCGCAACCGCCAAGAGCGACACCCACAAGTGCAATTGCGGCGACATCGGCGACTCAGTCGATGTGCTGTCTGACTTTCCAAAGTCCCCCACTATCGAAAGCGAAGAGAAAATCCATTGAATGTCGAAAGGCACTGTCCTCAAGTTCAGTTCTACGGCTACAAGGACGTGGTGCTGCGTAAGGACAGCAACGAAATCAAGGCTCTGTTCACAATTCTCGACGTCGTGCGGCCGATTCTCAGCGTCTCCAGCTCGGCTAAGAAGCACGACGCCTCCACGCATTACGAGCGGGGCAACAACTGCACTCCGACTCGGCTAAGAAGCACAACGCCCCCACGCATTGCGAGCGGGGCAACAACTACATGGAGCGAATGACATCTACTGGTGTCCGAAGGCTTGGGCTGCTGGCTCGGGCAGGCCTCTTCTTCAGACGGGCAGTGGTCACAGCTGGCAGCAGCGTGCATTTTGGGGAGGTCGATTTAGGCGACAGACCGCTTGGACTGCGACGAGGACGACAGCGAGACTTTGGATCCAGGCCAGGCCAAAGAGGGAGCTCGACATGATGCGCGACCTGGACGTCGGCGACCCCGCCAGGAGCGACGAGATAGCCAAAAGTGCGAAGACATGGACTACGCGATTGTGCCACCGCAAGAATGCTGGTAGAGTTCGAGCACGACTAGTCGTTCGTCAGTACAGGTGGGTCGCAGGAAAATCCGACGACAACTTCGCCCCTGCGCCCGGCATCGAAGGCGTCCGACTTCTTATAGCCGTCAGATGCTGGCGGCGACGTCGACGACGACGGCAAGATCCATGCTTACGGTCACAACGATGACTTCGTCGACGACAACTCCATGGACGACGGCGTCGACGACCCAGCGATCTCTCCCGACCAGTCCTGCAGTGCGCACGCGGCACGAGATACTAAACTGCTCAGGCTCGCCCATGAAGTCGGGCGCTGGCGGCGCGCGGCAGGTTCGGAGGGAGAGGTAGAAGAGAAGCAGAAGGAGAAACTCGCCTCCCAGATCGGTCCCCTTGAACAGATCTGAAGACTCACGGAACCCAGAGAGCACGTGCTGAGCCAGACTGCAGGTGGTGTGAGTAGTTGGGGCCCCTCGCCCTGGGGCGAGTCGTTCGGGTTCCTCCTTGTATGAGTCGTTCAGGCCCCTCGCCGAACGACTCACTTATCGAGGAGGGGCTAGAACGACTCTGACCAGGAGAGGGGACCCGAACAAATCACAACAGGAGGAGAGCACCGAAGGAATCCACTGCACCGTGGTAGCGGCCACACCGTCGATAAAACTGCCTGATCTCCCAGTGCGGCAAAGTAACGACATCACCCAGTACTGATGCAGCGGTGAACCACAAGGTACTCCCGGTACTGGACGAGAGACCATGCACCATCGCAGCCCACTGCCGCACACCCGAAGAAACCCAGCAATCTCCAAGAGTCAGAGGCAAAAACGGCGAGCACAGTAATCAGCAGCATCACCTGAGCAGAATAAGCAGCACCATTATAGATTATAGCAACCAGCATCGAAGAACTGACCAACGGATGTTCAGTTGAAGCAACATCCCATTTCCCAACTCGCTCTACCCAGAATCATACTGGAAAAAAAATACATTCGGCAGTCGTGCAATACAGTGCATATACTATCAGAGCCCGATGCCGTACGTGTTCCTCCAACATAGTCATACGAGAGTCCAGACACGCGTGGCTCGCTTCCCTGGTAGGTGCAGGACCAGGTGCGGGAGCCGAACTGCTATCTCTGTGGACCTGCGCGTCATCCGCCTCATCAGCCCGATCGGTGGAAACCTCTGACATTTCGTCAAGAGCCTGTTGACGGTGGATTGTCCGAACTTCTTGCTCACGTCTCGTCACGCTCTTGGTGTTGCTGAGGCGCTCATGGGGCTTGTCTTGGTACATCGTATGCGTCCTGCAACGCGGCCTACTCGCCAACGGATATCCACGTACCCTCGGGATGCTCTTGCTGCGGCTGCGATTGCGCGCCCTGCTCTGGATGCGTCACCGCGGTATGCCGGTGGATCGGCCCCTCCGCGGAGAAAAGCTCTTCGCACCGGCAGGCGCAGAGCTGCGGCCAGACTTAGAGCGCCACTCCGAGAAACTCCAAGGGTTAGGATCCTCCTTTCATAGGTATAGTTCATGAGCCAGCACATCATCGATGTCGGGCTTCTCGTCCTGGGGGCGCATGCGCTCATCGGAGCGGCCGCGAAGAAGGGAGCCACGGCGTGCACGACGGAAAGCACGATCCCAATCACTCCGCAGTTCCTCGCCACTACGAGTAGCCATCGCGCGCGGGGTCGAGTGAGTACGTCTGCGCCGAGCTAAGCTCACTGCAGAAATGGTAGGCAGAGGCAACTCACAGCAACAGGGAGATTCCTGGGGAACGGATGCAGAAATTACCTCCTACCTCTGATGGGCCGCAACAGCAACGGACAACCGGCAGGGAATCGCAATGCCTTGGACACGATTATAGCACAGTTCCTCTGGACACAAGCCTCTCTCGCACATCCTTGCGACCTCCGTCTCTGATCACGACTCCCTGGAATCAGCAGTAAGGAAATCCCAAGCGCACGCACGATTACAAAACCCGAGAGAGCCAAAAAGAAAGGGAGCTCAAAATGCAATCGAGATCGGTGAAATCACCGCAAGCAAACTTACAGGAACCGTCTAAGAAACCAAGGCCCAAGAAAAGCGAGACCCCAGAGACACAGCTGGAAGGAATCAAACGAAGCAGAGGCGGCGGAAGAGAGCTGTGAGAGGACACGCATTTTTTCGCACAGACCTTCAGCGAGACATCTCAGCGATCGATGCTCGTTCACACAGGGAGATTGCTGGCCAATGGCCGAGAATGGCTGAGAATGGCCCACAATGGCCGATGCTTAGGCGCTCCGGCAACACCGTAGCGAGAAATCTTAATAACCTGCCCGGACATTTCGTTCCCACTGACCGGGTCACACGGCTGGGTAGTACGAGGATAGGCACAATGGTTGATGAAGCACTACATGAGGCCAACTGCGCATGCACACATAGACACCGCAAAGGTTTCTCGTCGTCGTCGTCGCCATCAGTCGTCGAATCCTGTCCCAATCATGGTCCAGGGTCTGCCGTTCCTGCTGGTCTCTCGTCGTCGTGGTGCGGTGGTCGTCGATGCGCCACGTACCATAGCAGCAAGACCCTCAACCAGACGAAGCACGGATGCTTTTGATTGAGCCCCGGCACAGCGCACCCTAGGCAAGTAAGATTCAAAGAAGCTCTCATAGAGATAACGAGTTCCCACTTTTTGGAGACCCATGATGCATTTCTATAACACGGTTGCGGGATATGCCGTAGGCATGTGTATACATAAACAATATAGAGATAACGGATCCCGACTTTTTGCCGCCCTTTGCTGTGCGGCTATAGACAAGAAAACGAATAACCCAACATCGCAGGCATCACGTATGCCAGTTATGTGCCCCTGCCACCACGACTAAGGACAAAAGAGAATAGACGGCACAGGCACATGGAAGCACCACCATCCTTAAGATATAGAGAACGCAAGCGTGATTGATTGCAGGAACAATCAGAGAGGTGCATGCTATGCAGGTGCAAAGAACCCCGTAGAAAATCAGTCCAAGAATGCATAAGAGGATGCCGGACAACGTGTGTGTGTGTGTGTGTGAAACGTAGGAGTATATTTCCTGCAGCGCCACAGCACGTACATGACTGGCGAAACTGGAGAGACATAGAAGCACACCTTCTCTGCGCCACGCACAAGCAAAACTGCGTGTACAAAGGCTGCAATAGTCCTCACTGCTCGCCCGGATAGACCGCGTCCGCCTCTTGAAGGTGTGGATCCACGGCCACTTTCATTTCCAACGCGTGATTCACAGACTGATCCAGAGCCATGTCCAACGTGAGGTCCAGAGCATAGTCCAATCCATCAGGCGGCTCGATGCCCATGATAGCGGCGGTGCGAGCCCACCTGCTACGCGGAACCAAGCAATTTCCATACTGGTCCCGCGCAACGTTGCCACGATAGAGGGCACCCTCGGCTGGATCATCGTGCAGATAGCCGTCCGCGGGAACCCACGAGTTCAGGCGTGGATTCCTGAAGCTCATGGATAGGGAATCCCACAAAGGACTGAACCAGCGAAAGATATAGCCGTTCGGGAGAATAGAATTCCCACCATGAGATAGGCAACGCCTGCAGATAATACCATCACAAAGCATCTTCTGGAAAGGAATATAGTGATCCTCGACCCACTCGGTGTCGGTCTCCGTGCCAATGACTCCATGATAGATCTGCGTCATGATCAAGTCCACGCCCATGGCATAGAAGATGCGGCCCGGAGGGCTCTGCCGCCGGTACCAGGTGATGAAGGCGATGAGCATAGCGGACGAGTCTACGTTCGCCATGGGAACCCAGCGCGGCATAGGGTTGGCGGGCAGCGACATTCCAGGAGGACGATGGAGGGAACGCTCTATGGGGTGATAA